CTGGGGTGGACAGTTTGCATATGTAAGGGAGAGGAAAAAGCTGCTTGAGGCCATTCCTCATCCATTCTGTCCTGGTGTGTGTGCTTGCAGCTTAGCTGTGGCTGCTGCCCTGAGATGCAGCCCTCTGCCATGTGCCACTCTGCCTTATAATCATGCCTAGTACGGATTGAAACCTCCACAAACTGTAAGCGAAATAAACCTTTCCTTCCTTAATTTTGGTCGTCAGATATTTTGTCCCAGCAACGAGAAAAAAGTAACCAAGACAATAGATCAGAAAAAAGTGGTATTATTAAAACAGTCATACTACCCAAATTGATCTGCTGATTTATGTAATACCTGTCAAATTACATTCTTTTTTTTTTTTTTTTTTTTTGGTACTGGGAATTGAAATCAGGATCTTGTGCTTGCTAGGCAAATGCCTGTACCACTGAACTATATCCCCAGCACCACAAATGACATTCTTCACAGAAGTAGAAAGTCTTACAATGTATATGGAACTATAAGAAAACAAAATATAGGGGCTGGGGATTTAGCTCAGCAGCAAGGTTCCTGCCCGGCAAGCACAAGGTCATGAGTTCAATTTCCAGTACCAGAAAACAAACAAACAAACAAAAAACCAGAAGAAAACAAAATATAAACAAACAAACAAAACCAAATAGTCAAAATAATCTCGAGCACAAAGAATGAAGCAAGCAAGAGGCATCACACTCCTTGACTTCAAAATAAAATACAAAGCTATAGTAATCAAAACAGCATGGAAATGTTATAAAAACAGATACACAGACCAAGAAAACAGAATAAAGTGCCAAGAAGTAAACACATGTATCTACACGCAACTGATTTGTGAAAAAAAGGTGGTAAAAACACATACCAGGAAAAGACTAGTCTCTTCAATATAGTTCTGCAAATACAATACTGGACATTAACATGCAGAAGAAAGAAACTAGACCCCTGTTTTTCACCATATATAAAATTAACTCAAAGTAGACCAAAGACTTAAGATTTTAAACTATTAGAAAAAAACACAGACAAATGCTTCAGGGTCCTGGAAGACTGACTTTTTTGGATAAGATTCCAAAAGTGTAAGAAAAAAAGCAAACACAGATTGCATTAAACTAAAAAGTTTCTGTACAGCAAAGAATTAAGAGTTAACCTACAGAGTGGAAGAAAATATTTGCAAACTATATACCTAATGAGTGGTTGATATTCAGAATATACAAGGGACTCCAAAAATCAATAGCAAAAAAACACTAATAACTCAATTAAAAAATAGGCAATTAAGCCAGGCGCGGTGCCGCACACCTGTAATCCCAGCACTCAGGAGGCAGGAGGATTGTTTCAAGTTTGAGGCCAACCTGGGCTATAAAGAGTTCAAGACCAGCCTGAACTGTATAGTGAGACCCTGACTCAAAAAGACAAAAAAAAACTCAACCAAACAAAAAGGCAACTGATCTAAGTAGGTATTTCTTAAGATATAAAAGCGGCCAACAGGTATACAATACATGCTCAACCTCCCTAGTCATCAGGCAAATGCAAAGCAAAACCACAGTGAGATATAATCTCATTCTTATTATAAGACCTATACAAAAGGATAAACATTGGCATGAAATTGAAGAAAATGGAACCCTTATATACTTGGTGGGAATATAAATTAGTTCAGCTATTATGGCAGACAATTTGGAAGTTTGCAAAGATGAATAAATAAATGACCTACCATATGATTCAGCAATCCCATTGGTTAGTTTAAAGGAAATGAAAATCAGTATGTTGAGGAGATAACTACACCCCCATGTTGATCCCAGCCCTATTCAGAACACCAAAGAAATAGAAACAATTGAAGTACCCATCAATGGATGAATGGATAAAGAAAATATGATATATAAAACAATACTCTTCAGTCATAGAAAAGGATGGAAGAAACTTGAGGGTATTACATTTAAGTGAAGTTAGTCAGGTACAGAAAGACAAACAGCACATGATCTTAGTTATATGTGGAATCTACAAATGCTGATCTCAGAGGGTGAGAATAAAACAGTTGTCACCAGAGGCCTTAAAACAGGGAGAAGGGAGTGATGGAAAAAAAGTTGATCAATGTATACTAAGTTAGAATTAGACAGGAGAAATAATCCCAGGGTTCTACTGCACAGTAAGGTGACGATAGATACTGATGATGCACTGTATATTCCAAAAAAGATGGAAGAAATGATTTTGAATGCTTTTATTATAAAGAAATGTAAGGCCAGGGATATAGTTCAGTGGCACACTGCCTGCCTGGTAAGCATGAGGTCCTGAGTTTGACTCTTGGTACAAAAAAAATGCAAATATTGGAGAAATAGATACGTTCCCCCTTATTTGATTATCACATAATGTGCACATATATCAAAACATCAACATTGATACCCATAAATATGTAAAATTTTGTTTCAATTAAGAACATAAAAATTTTAAGTTAGTAATAGTAGCTATTATTTTATATTTCATATGCTTAGCTTCCTTATGCAAAAAGGAGAGCACTTAGCACTCTGAAAACCTGAAGCAGGAGGATCACAAGCTCAAGACCAGCCTGAGAAACTTCACAATTCAGACAGATCCTGTCTCAAAATAAAAAATATTAAACAGGGCTTAGGTTGTAGGCTAGCATGAAGGCCCTATCTTCAATCCTTAGTGCCTAAAAACGAAAAAGAAAAGGCAGAATCTGTATTTAAGCAATTACCCCAGGGCACAGTATCCCAAACAGGTATTTAATAAATGTTTACAGAATTGATTTTTATTAAAATGAATGAGTAGCATAAACATGCTAATAATTTATCTCAGATATTAACGCTTGCTAGGATGTGTTTTCTTGCTTGAATTAGCAAGACTGACTTTTTAAAATTATTATTATTGCTGTTGTTGTGAGACTGTTGTGGTAGCACTCTGGGAGACTGAGGCAGGAAGAGCCCGAGCTGGAGTCCTGCATGAGCAACTTAATGACGTAGTGAGACTTTGCCTCAAACACAATTAAACAAATAAAAAGGGCTGGGGAGGTGGCCAGTACAAAGTCTTCCTGACTTTCACAATGTCACATTATTTAATAATGAACTCATATCATCAACTCATGAAATTTTTAAATTGCTATGTCCTTTTAATTTTTTGCTTTTTTTTTTTTTGGTCTTTTTTGAGACAGGGTCTCGCTATGCAGTTCAGGCTGGGCTTGAGCTCACTCTGTACCCAGGCTGGTCTTGAACTCGCAATGATCCTCCTGCCTCAGCCTCCCCAGTGCTGGGATTCCAGGCGTGTGCCACTACGCCTGGCTTTTTGCTATTTTTTGTTTTTACATTTTAAAAATTTTTTTTTGCTGAAGAGACACTGGACATTTATTTACCTGTAGCTCCTGTGCAACCAATCCTATCTACCAGGATTCTGCCATGTCACTCCCTACACTGACCTGTCACAGGCCTAAAGCTCATTAATTCTGATCAATTTCCTAGGTAGATTGGTCAAATCACATGTTTAAGACTAAGTAAAAATAACTTCATCTATACCAAAAAAACCCCTTAACTTTTGGTCTTATTTTTCTCTACACTGCTGAGAAATAATAATACGGCTGAGGTTTTCAGAAGTACCTAATCAAAGAATAACATAATTTTCAAGTGGTAAAGATGTTATCTGCATATATTAACAGTACAGATAAAGTATAATTTTCATACTTTTAAATTTCTATTTGCTAGAGCTCTCTGCAGTGTTTTTAAAATATTCCTTTTCAACACTCACTTAACATATGATCATCTCCATTTTCTGTAAGACAAATTCTGAAATGTTTACATTTCAAGGTTTCAATAAGATATACTATTAAGTGTATTATAATGATGTTAAAACATACTCACCTTTTTACATTTTATAAAATATGAGTCAACATTACATTACACTATCACTTGCAAATAGATCAAACTATAATGTTCTTATTAGCAACCAGTCAAAAATATAACAAAAATTATCTTTAATTCTACTATGGAACAATTTAATTTTAAAAATGAAAAAACAATTTAATTTGACTGAAGAAGTAATTCCAGTAATTTTAGTTTATTGAGTCTACAACTAGCTTCATAAATCATAATCAGTTCACTTAATTATATTCAAAAAATGAACTATTATATGAATTGAAGCTTTTTATTTTTAGTTCTGGGGACACTGTTAATATTCAATACATTAATTAATAGGAACAATCTACTACTAATAATTAAATAATAAAGGTAATTTGCTAAAAAAAAATGTTTACACAAAAATATATCAGTCCTCACATTTCCAAGTTTTCATAGTACTTCATTCATAGGCTTTAACTGATTTAGACAGTGCCTAATATTTAGTGTTCAGTCTTTTCATACAAAATGCCCAGAAACATATTATTATACTGTACACAAATAGATCAAATCATAGAGAAGTAAACTCTTCTACAAAATTACAGTAAAGATAAATTACCCTTTAGATATTTCCCACAAGTTATCACAGTTAATCATATCTGGGTCATGTGAGCAAGTAAGTAAATAAGGTTCTTTGGAAATATCCATTTAAAATAAATGTGATGAGAAGTGAATGAATTTAATACCTGATTGGATTTAGAGAAACAGTTTCTCAACTTAATCTAATATAAACTCATCACAAAACAATCACATAATAAATTTAAAAATGTTTGTGACAAACAATGTAGTTTCAATACCATGAATTTAATGTTCTAAAATATCAGAATTGAGGAAAACTGAGCAAAAAAGGCTTTTTCTAAACATGTATGAAACATAGTAACAGGGTTATACATGTTAATTATGATAAGGCTGCATGATTACTAAGTGTACTTACACAGAAATGTCATTTCAAAAATTAAAACCAAAGTTTTGTAATGCAGGTATTCAAAGTTAGCACTACTCTCCAATACACAGTATTCATAAATATAGGATTTTTAATAAATGCTTTTAAAAAAAATTACCTGGTTCTGTAGCCATCTTTCATGCCTTCGTTGTTTTCTTCTCAGATTCCTCAACTTGCTTCGTTCTCTCTTATTGAGCCTCTGATTAATGTTGCCCAATGAAAATTTACTGGCTGAACGTAGGAAGTCCAGAGGGGAGAGGGGCTCTTCTTGGTCTGAGGCCTCTAACATGCTCCTGCCAGCTGAGGGTAGGTCCACCAGCAAAGTCAGGTTGTTGCTATTAGTGTGGTTCGAGTACACTGAAGAAGCTTCTAGACCACACTGAAATTCTCTTCCTCTTTGTGTCTGGGTCTCACGGGAAGCCACTGAAAGTCTTTGTAGCAGCAAATCAGTATCAAAACTGGATGGATTTTGAAAAGAACAGCTATTCTTACTAGACTGTAAAGGCAAGTCTGAAAGGTCAATAGGCTGTGTTTCATTTAGCCTGGTATAGGCACTAGTCTTACTATGTATTTCATATAAAGTAGGTAATAAAGTCAGCTTCTCATTGATGTTCAGATCCAAACTATGTGATTTTCTATGAAAAGCTCTTGCCGTGCATCGGCCAGACACAAGCTGGGGAACAAAAAGCTGGTATTTTGAATCTGGTGTTTTAAAGAGCAATTTTTCATTCTTCATCTGAAAATACGTTGATCCCACCTCCAGGCAGAGTGCTTCTGTTAATCTTCCAAGGCCATTATTATTTTGGGCCATGTTTTTGGAGCCACCACCTGTCAGCAGAGTTTCCTTGTTACAACCTGACTGAATTCCAGAATGGGACAAGTATTTCAGCGATGGTCTCATTAATCTGTTTGCCTGTGTTGCTTGATAATCGGTCCGGCTCTTGGAGAGATATACAACTGCGAGCTGGCCACAGGAACATTTTGGAGTGCTGACAAAATTAAAGCCCCCTAAATGGGCCCCACAGAAAGGGCAATTCAATTTTCCAAAAGTCCACTGTGCCTATAGGTGATAAAGGAAAATAAAGACAACATTTCCATTGTAAAGTGACCAAACAGAATGTGAATAAAAAAAGAAAAAAACCCGACCACATGAAAGTTTTCTATGCTACAGAAAAGGCTAGCTTTCTGCTTTCTGATTAGTAGACAGAACAGCAAACAGAGATAAGCAGCTACAAAGTTCTAGTATGATAATACATTGCAAATCATGCCCAACCAAACAATAGTCCTAAGAATTCCAAAAGAGAATCTCTTAAACAATAGGCTAAATATGGATATACTGTGAACTAATGAAAAGAAAATTACTCTATGGACCTAGGAAGCAAATCAGTCTACAGAGCTTAATTTGCAAGTAAAATCTCACAGAAAAGTGTCTGTTTTGATACACTTCTTGCATACCAAGCACCAAGGGAGAGAACTTAACCCAATGAATAGAATAAAGCTCTTTCTGGCTTTTTATGTACAACTAAAAGATATTGGTTGGTACATCAGATAGCTCATTTTCTATACTCAGACAAAAATTAATAACGAACTCACTTAAAATGATCTTTACACACACAGTGGAACATCTTCAGCAACCTAATATATTTTGTAAAGTTCAGGACCCTTAAAGCAGCACACTGGCACTCTCCCAGGAAATCATTACAGTGTGATAATGGATGCAAGGGATATCTACCAAATGTTACTTTGACAGCCACACCAATAGCTACTTAGTGGTAAAATGTTTTTATTTGAAAATATTTTCCAAAAATAGTATTACTTATTCTAGGACAGGTATTTTGCATTGTGAAAAATAATTTTAGCAGGTTATTAAAAAATATGAGCTGCTGCTCTTACACTACTCCATTAAAGAATCTTTAAAGTGTGCCATTTTAATTCTGTTAATGCCAAAAGTTATCAATTTTGTTTCTTTTTTTCACGTGTATGTGTGTATTTAAGAATAATACAAGCTATTTTATTCACATAACAAATACTATTGCAGGTGCTAAAGACATAGTAGTGGCCAAAATGTAAAAATCTCCGGTTTTTTGAAGTATATATCCTGCGGTAACCAGGCAATCAACAAGATAAGCAAGCTATGTGTGTGCAGGTGAAATATGCATGTGTGTAATTATATATTTATATGTCAGACATATATATATTTATAAGTAATATACGCTACCTGTAGTGTACATGAGTCTATAATATATAGACAGGTATATAAAGCAGAGAAGGGAGAAAGGCAATACAAGAAGAGATAATGGGGGTGGGAGGGTGGGGGTTGGGTAGTTGATAGGTTAACCACACACTGTGTCTTTGAAAGTAAAAAACAGAAAAAGGGAACAAACCAAGAGTATATCTGCAGAAATAACATTCAAAGGAGAAATTTAAAATACGAAATCTGAGAAAGACAAGTACCTGGAATGCTCTAATAATAGTGAAGAAGCCTGTAAGTACAATCAAGAGAAACACAACTGTTCATAATCTTAAAACCACACATCTAAAGAAAACAGCTCTAAAAAAGGACAAAAATATGCTGAATGTGTAACCTTACTAATTTTGCCCAGAGAACAGAAATTTACCTTGTGTATTAGGCAGCTTATCCATTCTGGAAGGGCTTCTAGATTCATGTGCCACACATGACAAAGATCTTGCATGTCACCAGAAGCATGTCTATCCTGTTACACAAAAATTAATTTTAGTACTCATACATTCAGATTGTAGTCCACAAATTTCATGTTTAAGTAAAATTCAAAACATAAAAAAATTAATTTTAGCTAAAAAGCAAATGTACACTAGTCTCCTTCTCTAGTTCCCATTATCAAAAACAAACCCACAAAGAGCAAAATACATCTCTTCAGGAAATAACTACTTGTGATTTAACACAAGATCAAACACTATCCATTTTATTTAATTCACCAAATAAAATTTTAAAATTTAGCAGAAAGTTACTGAATAGACAAATCTAGTGCCTTGTTTTTTTTCCCCTTGTACATGAGATAAATAGTGTCATTTATGGTAACCTTCCCCAGCTTTCACTCTCTGATCCTACTTGGATTTACCATTGATAAAATAAAGAAGCTGCTATTTCTCTATCAGAATACTACTCAATACACATGCCGGAGAATGAAGAAGAGAAATGATAAGATTCGGACACAGTGCCACCTTAACGTACTTAAAAGCAGCAGAAGCAGGAAGACCTTTCTCTATATCCTCCTGCCCTTGTCTGTTGAAGCAGGCAGAAAGCAGGAAGATTTTTTGATTTCTGAAGTAGGTTATGAGATCCTCAACTCTACCCTGCCATATCCAGAGGAAATAAACATTTTGATCTATGCAGGGTCAGAGAGAACAATGTGAACAAACAGCTATGCCATTTCCTCTAATTTGTTATCACTGTATCACATCCTCTTTGTCTTATCATGTTTCTCCATGACTTTATGCTCTTACATCTAGCCTAACATAGAAACACTCAAGTTTAACTATTTCTTTAGGTTCTCATCTCCTTATAAAGGCTATGCCACATGACATTTACATTAAATATATATGTCTATGATTTTCTCTTGTTAATATGTCTTTTACAATAGAAACTGTGGCCATGAACCTCGGATGAGTACAGTTTCGCTCCTCTATAAGAGCAATTGCGGAGGCAGCTGAAAAAGCTCCAATTAAATTTCACTACAAACCAACGAAAATCTGAAGAGTAAAGTCTTTGGTTTTCTGAAGTAGATTTGTAGAAATAAATGTAATATTATTACTATTAATATGTATTACAATTTCTTACTGATTTAATTTACAATAATATAAATTACTTCTAGATAACTGCTAAGGTCCTTTCTGGATCTATAACATTTCACTCTGCAAAATGAGAGATGCTGGTTGAGAGGAACAAAGAAAGTACAGCTTCTACCCACTATCTCTCAGGATCAGAATTACAGTAAATAACTCCACAAGCTGCCAAAGCACAATGCTTTTTCTCAAGTATTTCCCAAGCGGCTGCACTACTCATTACTATAATCAGATTTAAAAAGTAAAAAACAAACGAATTTCTAAAAAATCTTTCAAGTCTGTATTCACAATGATATGAAAGATGCAGAGATGTATTTAAGAAATCTTCACTGAATTAACTGTTTTAGGTTGTGATTTAAAGCCAAGATCACCCAGAATTTCTAGATCTAGATTTAATTTCCAAGTTGGTCTCTCCTGGACCTTTGACTAGTTTTGTCTTCCATCATTAGATATTAAGAAACTAAAAGATGGCCAGGTGGAGATAAAAGTTGCAGTGTGATTTGTTTACATACTGGTAAGATCTATAAAGAAGCTATCTTAATCTAATTTCCATCAGGCCAAAGGAACACAAACAAAAACAAAAAAATTACATTGTAAATTAAAAGGAAAGGGGACTTGGGTTATTGTTATGATGGACCACGTTCATCATTTTAAAAACTGTATACAATAGTATTTTTACATACTATGAACAACAATCAGTGAAAATCCATAATTAATGGCTTTCATTTAGATATGAACAAGAAGTTATGGTGTATCATTACACAGCAATTATAGACAATAGTAACATACTATTTATTTCAAAAAACCTGATTTACACAATACATACAAGTCTTAAAACATCATGTTATCCCATCAATATGCACAACTTTTTTGTTACCAATTAAAAATAAACTTTATTTTAAAAAGTAAATACAGGTTTAAAATTTTTTCAATTCTAATCCTACAACATGGATTGAAAATATTTTAATGACAAGTAACAGGTATCTTGGGAAAGGTTATAGCTAGCCAAAGAAAATTAGTCATATCCGTGATGACTAAACTCCACTTCTGCTTAACAGACTACAATTCTTCCAACTTCTCATGTCAAAATTGATAATAATGAGGGAGGGAATGGGAAGTACATGGAAATTTGAAGAGGACGTCACTGAACACAGACAAAGTTAAGAAAAGAGGAAGAGATGCTAGAAAAAGTCTCTAGCTCTATCACCTATGGCTTCCTCAGAGTTCTCACAACAGTGCCATGAAAATATGCAAAAGTTTATCTTATTCTATTTTCTGATACAAGTACATAGGGGAAATGTATAGACAATGATAAGAATATATTACAGTCTATCTCCTATCACACCACAGAACCTACGGAAAACACATTTTTAAAAAAGGAATCAATAGCTGATGTAGAAAATATAGATGGGGGTTTCAATGGACCAGAAATTGTAAAAAACTTCTGATAGATTAATAAAGACAAATTCAGCATATTGTATTTAAGTGCATAATAGATGAGAAAATAACACAAAGAATGGTTCATGTCATGATAGTGAAAACTGGAAGTAAAAAGGGGTTTTAGAGAAAAGATTAGGGGCTTAGTTGATATTTGTCTATGTCCAGATCACAATAATACTTTGGTTAGAAAGAAATAGGGCAACATCCTAAGGTGGCTGGAACAGTCTCAAGTAAGTGGATGAAATCTGCAGAAAGTCCAGAAACGAACTGCTGAGGATCTGACTCTGCTCTTCTAAAAACAGCACTATACCCAATGATGAGAATAATATAGATTTGTTTGTACTAATAGGATAAAGGCTAATAAATACTGTTTAAAAATGTGAGAAAGAAATAAACAGAGTATTATATATCATCTAATGGTTATGATTATGAGTATGCATATACTGGCTAAAACTCACTCAACTGTGAATTTTATTATTTGTAAACTATATCCTAATAACAGTGGTCAGAAAATAACAGATAAAAATATCCTTAAAGAACAGTGACCACAAAACACCTGCAAATTTTAATATTTTATTCTTCACCTCCCCCTCAATTGGCACAAATTAAGAGTCACTATTTCACATACACTATAAATAATTCTGAAAAAGTTCATCTCTTTTTTGTATGAGTATCTTGGAAAATCAGGGTGAAATACAAATATAGATTAAATTATATAAAAAACAGACTTTTGAAAAAGTTCTTTGGACTTTTCCTTAATATTTGTAGAATTTAAGGTGTCTGGAGAATTCTGTTAAAAATGCATTTGAAGATATCAATATGTAATACAACCACCATTGTTAATTCCCTACCACTTTGTTTGTAACTCTGTATTGTCTGTATTGTGCTTGTGATATGTTG